GGCGCTTAAAGCCAACCAGGAGATGTGTGCTTCATAGTGTATGTGTGTGTGTGTGTATGCGTGTGCGTGTGCATAGAGTGGATATGGAATAAACAAACGTAAACTCAGCTCGAATTTAGCTTTCGATTGGCAGCTATTAATCAAGCTTGATTAAAGCTTCAATACTTGACCCGAGCACCGCAGCCACAAGCTGCAGCCCTCAGCCACAAACAGTTCATTCGTGTATCCTGGTCATGTACTCGCCACGCCCTCCTACTGCTGCTCACCGCACCCATCCCCAGACGAACAAGCGTGGGAACTTGTAAATGAGTGTGAACGTATATCCTGCTCGAATTGTGCGTTAGCGAACGGGGGGAGTGGAGGCATGTGGAGGTTGCTGGAGCGGGATGAATCACACTCCCAATTTGTGCTGCCCGCTGGCCATTACGAGTCGTAAATGGAACAGTCAAGAGCAAGGTTATATTTAGATTATTCATAAACCGTTTGCCCCAACTCGGCGGTCTCCCGGCGATATCTGCAGACATCGCGACAAATGCTCCTTCCGCCCGGACACGTACGTACTCCTGCCACGACAGCGACAAATACTAAAGACTCGCACCATAATCGATGAATCTATCAACGATGTGATGATGGCCACCCTTTAGAGGGAGACCAGCCCACACTCCCTCTCTCTCTTTCTCTCTCTCTCTCTCTTTCTATTCTCTCCCACACCTCTCGCTGGATAAATGGCTGGCCATAAAATCTTATGAAAACTTTTCATCTTTCGCGCTGTCGTCTGCGCGTCCGCTGTATTGGCTCACTGTCTTCCCTCTCCCTCTCCCTCTCCCTCTTCTGTCTTCTGTCTTCATTTGTGCCATATTATTAATTATTTTGTATCTCTCTCTCTCTCTACCCAAAAACAGTCAGACAGCCAGCCATCCAGCCAGCCAGCTAGACACTTACCCATGGAGCTCAGTGTAATTTGATTGTTCGCAGCTTTGTTGTCGTAAGCTTCTGCTGTTTATGACACTGCGACGGGCTCTTCATCTACGCGATCCTCTTATGGGCACAGCCACAGCTGGTGGCACTTGATGGCATGCTTTACTCCACTTTCCCACTTCTCCACTCCTCCAACCGCTCGATTATGAGCAAATAATTCGTCCGATTGCTTGTGGCCTTGAGGCCTTGAGCCTTCCTTTACAGGCAGGACTCGTCCTGCATGTCAGAAATAGAAATGTAATCCTTTCTGGCCTTATAGTTTCATCTAATTGCACTCAAACGCATTCCATTTACCCAATTGTTGCTGGCTGTTGCGACGATTCCTTGTGGCCGATTCAGTTGAATGCGAAAAACTTGGCACATTCCGTTTGGGGCAGCCTGCTGCAGTGCGTCCCATTGCAAGGGAGGCTGCAGAAGAGGAATGTGTCATGCCTGGAGCTAGTGATATGACCGAGGCAGGAAGAGTTGTTGCTCTGGGCCGGCTGCGGTGCTCGGACTGGGGCACTCTTGCAACACTTGACAAATGGGCGGCATGGGACGACTTGGCGCCCTTCGTTCCACTCGAGTGCGTTTCACGGGTGCTTTGACCCCCTGGCAGCTGTTAATTGTTATCGCAGTGACCGAGGCGACAATAATCCACGACGTTATGCGGTGTCATCGCACCGCCCCGTGGGTGTCGGAGCGTGTCAATGAACGTGGCTTGAGATTCCATTGACTTCTGTTTGGGCCTTGTGCTGCAAGTAACTTTGACCGCATACTCAGTGAGATTGCAGGCCGACTGAGTGGGATGGGGGGTGAGGCTTGAAAACGTTTGAGAATTGGCCACGCTGAAATCCATTTGAGTCAACAAACAAATAGGCAGTCGCGCGTTGTGTGTGTGTGTGTGTGTGTATGTTCTTGTGTTTGAAAAGCGGAAATTGAATTTATATTCAAAGTTTAGTTATAGCTAAAGCCGACGGCTGGACTTTCGCGCCGGATAAAGCAAGCCAAGCGCTGCAATTGCATTTGGCTGTCGACATCTGCGGCCTCTGTCCTCGGCTCTCGCTGCTCTGTCCGAAAGTAAATAAAATAAAGAGCAGCCGTTAGTCCGTGCTGTCCGGGCTGTCCGGTCCGTCCGTCCTCACGGCTGATTGGAAAAAATTGCACGGCAAAGCGTAAATAAATACTCGCGTGTGCAAATATGCAGTCAGTCGATACAAACGATGCGAAATGAATTTACAGTTGAGATGCTCGGAACACAGACACCAGCAAATACCTCTCCACCTGTAACAGAAAAAAGACCCATATCTCACGTCTGCCAGCTGTCGTAGGCAGCATACAATGCTGTCATAGCCGTACTTAAACTATATATTAAAGCTCAGCTCCAGCGACATGCAAAGGCAGCTCCAAGCTGATCCAATAAATTGATATGATATATGTCGATTGCTGATCCTGGACTTACGGCTCTGACCCGATTCGACCAATTTCAACAGCAGCAATTATTATTGGTGCATTATTTATTCAAATCATAGCCAAAGGCTTTTTCCATTTTCAACTGCAAAACCCATTCGATTTTAGCTTATGTTTTTTAATCCGCCAGCAAATAAATCGAGAATATAAAATACTATATAGTTTCGCCTGCAATTGGAAAACGCTAACGTTTCATTATTCATAGCATCATTAGAAATTTTGGCATTTGAGCGCGCAAATTGGCCGCACGTCCATTGCGGAAGAGCGATATTAAAACTGGTAAGTGGGCGTCAATCGGGAGTGCTCGACTAGCAAATACCCGCTACTATGGGAAAGTATCAAATACCTGCGATGCTAGATGGGGGCACTGAATCTCAATTTCAGGACAGTAATATGAATATAAATCTAATGCTCTAGTACTCTGATACTCTACAATTAAAATATACCTTTTAGACACCTGGTGAAGGTATTAGAAATCCACTATATACTCATTGGAAGTATATTGTAAATACAACTGGTTTTAATGCTGAAAGACTCTATCAAACTATTATCTAGTAGCTAAATTACCAGATAATAGTCGTCCCAGGCTGCTTATATGAAAGATCTCCTAACAACATTCACACAACGAACAAAATTAAATTTGACTAAGCAAAGTACTACGATGATGGATATCAGCTGGACTATGATCGATTCTAATTAGTGATCTATCCCAGGGATCTATCTCAGGGAATTATGGATTGCAGTAATCTTTTTTTTTATGATTTAATATAGGAATCTATACCTGGAAACTATACTTGATATCGATTTCTAGCTAGGAAAAATCATGAACTTTCACACCCCCTTCCGCCCATCACAATATATACCCCTTGAAAGCGGCCCCAACGAATGGCAGGGTATATAATTACAAGAGCAATTAAAATAAACAGCTAATGAGATCCGCCAACGCACAAATTATTGGAACAATTCAAAATCGAAATACGTATGGGCTTGAAATAATTTAATTGAAATTGCAAATTTGATGGGCGTCAAATTTATACGGTTTCCTAGTGCGTGGTTTCATCAACAGCTAAGAATCTATAGTATTCATATACATGTATGTAAGTATGTATAGCTGTTTTGATTCTTGCCACTCTCTTCTATTCTGTTTGGTGAAGTAAGAGAACTTCATAGCCTACATCTGAAAGTCTAGAAATTAACATGAGCAATTCTTGCATTTGTGAATGTAAGATGATCGAAGATATCATCATAGACACTAATCCATGCGAATACAGTAGTATAACATATGCTATGCAGAATATACAGAAATATTTTAAAGACTCAAACAAAAGCAACTCTTATTGTGGACAGACTTTTTAAATTAAATAAATTCCAATAATAAATTTCGAACTTTAGAGTTCAATTACCGTTTTTTGCAAACTGAGCGTGGAGCCTAAATTATCACATATTTCTACTAATCAATTTCTGGGAAACCATGCTTTTATACTCGTTCACGAAGTGAGTAAGGCATATTGGTTTTGTTTTTTCGCCTGTCCTTCTGTCTATACGTTCGTTGATTTGTCCTTTTGTTCACCCGTTCTTCCGTTTGACCGTCTCTTCGTCGTTCCGTTTAACCTTCTCTTCGTCGTTCCGTCCTTACGTATGTCCGTCTGTCCGTCAGTGCGTCACTCCGATTTTCTGTCCGTCCGTCTGACAGTCTGTCCTTCTGTTTCTTTGTGCTCCTATCTATCCGTCCATCTCTTCGTCCGTGCGCTTATCCGTCCATCCGTTTAACCATCCGTCTGTCCCACCGTCTCTCTGTCTTTCCATTAGTCATGTTGTTGCTATTAAAGTTAAAGACTTGAAATTTCAAAGATTGCAGATTTTCTGCCACTAGAAACGTGGTTTCTGTATCTCTATCTAGTATATGGGAAATGGTTAATGAGGTCAAATTTGGAATCTATATTCATGTATGAACAACTTGAAATATAACTTAAATATATTTCGAGTGTGATAAACCAGTTTGATCTCTGTCCTTAGCAGTTGAATTTTTTTTAGAACGGAGCACAATAATCTTGATTTTTTTCGAGCTGAGTCAAAGCAAAATCTATCATACAAACTTTCAAGAGTTTGTGCGAGTGTAGCTAAGCTCTGTTGTATCAATATTTTTTTACACGTTTTACACCCCTTTCTCTGCAGCTCTCTACACCCCAGTGTCGTCACGTGCAGAACGCCATTAGCTTTGCTTGTTGGACGACATTTCTGGGGACAAGCTGAAATAGAAATAGTTATAGATACGCATCGACTCAGCGGCGACTCATTAGCGCATTACCTGGCTAAATGACTCGAAATTTGCGGCAGCTGTTGTGCTGCGTCATTGATATTGTTCAGTTATTAGGTATACTATATATATATATATATATATAGTATCCAATATGAGTAGTTTTTGCTAAGCGACTTGCCGATAAGTTTTTAATTAAAAATTGTGGAAACACACAGACGCCGACGCACCTGTTGGTACTTCAGCTGTGGGTGTGGCCGATGGGCGAGGTGGCCCGACCAGGCCAGGGCCTGGCTGCCACTTAACCTCGGTTGTCTTGAAAAATCATAGCAGGAAATCAAAAATACACACAGCTGACGCCATAAATGAGATAACAAGTTTGTAATTTCGGCATAATTGCGCCCCCGCCCACCAGCCCCCGCCCACAAGGGCAAGGCAGCCGTAGGTTAACTCGGGCCAACACTTGACTCCCGATGTACATTTGATTCCGCTTAAGCTTAGGCATAAAGCTAACGTGGCTGCTGCTGGCGCAGTTGTTGCTCCTTTTTTGTTGTTATTTTTTTTTTTTTTTTTTTATTAAAATCAAACTGGCATATTTTTGTGCCCTGGCTGTGCAGCTAAACTTTGGTAAAACTCTCGCGTCGCCTACGCTGGCGGCCCCACACACGTGCTGCCAAATGCCAGATGCTCCACATGCCAGAAGCAAATGACAGCCGCAATTCCCCCCCCTCTGAGACCCAGGGCCAGAGAGCCGACTCTTGCCGCTCATCTAATTAAGTTCGCATGAAATTTATAGCCGGCATTCGTTTGGCCTTCTGCGTCGAGTGACAGCCTCGTCTAGTCCGCATGGGCATTGCGAACAGGATCAGGATCGGGATAGGGATAGGGATTGGGATTGGGATTGAGCACTTTTATGCTTCGCTGCTTCGATTCAGAACTGGCAACAATTACCTGGCCATGAACCATTTTTAGTTAACCGAGCCTTCGCCTTTGAAGTTGGCCAGTCTATGGCAACAAAACATTTTCGCAAAAGTTGATTTTTCTTTTGGGCTTTCATTTGGCTTGCTTTAAATAAATATGAGTTTTTCACTCTACAGGCCTGCTGGGCCTCGGCCACCCAGAGCCTTAACAGGAACCTGGACTTTAAGCATTGAAGCTGAACAACTTTCTGCAGAACGAGAGCGCAAATTTGTAGCAAAGACACGTTATAAATGCATTTACATTAATAATTACATTTCATTCACTTAGCACGAATTTCGCATAATCCTAGCCAAGCTGATGATACTCTGGCCACAGGTGGCGAATGGAAAGTTCATGCTGAGAGTCTCAACCATTTAGAGCGCATTGATTTTGGCTTGGCATCAGAAGCCTTTTTCGTCCTTTCCTGTGTCCATTAAGTTAGGGTATTCTGGATCAGAATAAGAGATGATAGCAACTAGTCTTCTTCGATTTCCCATCCATCCTTAAATTACAGAAATTCTTGTTCATCCTTCGACCTTCCGTGCGTCCTTAGTATTCGCGTATCCTTGATCAGCATCGAGGCTGAAGCTAACCAGCCTCTTTTGTCCTTCTTTATCAAAATTAATATCTTTTCCATCATTTCGTTTGTTCTTCATGTCAGAATTAATAGCCGCATCTCTCTAACCTTTTACGACCATCTGCCTTCGTTTAATTAATATTTTGATCAGAATCTATGCATCAAACTCTCTACCATTTTTCTTCCCTCCTTCCATTCTTGAAAAATTGAATTTGTAGTTTTCATTATTCCATCTTCTCTTAGAATTGGGACCACCATTAATAGCCTTTTGCATACTTCCGTTTGTCTCGATAGTATTTAAATCCTTGATCAGTTGCGATAGACACACCATACTATCTTTTAAGTCCTTTAAGCGTACATCAGGCAAAGATATTCTTGATTATCTTTCTATCGTTCTGTCCACCCTTAAAATATATAAATCTTTAGTCAAAATCTCAGCAGTCTTTTTCTTGATTCCCTTCCCCGAATGAGATTTTAGGGTATCTGCTAGACGAATGCACTCGCTTCGAGTACTTTAAGCTGCTAGTCAAAGTAGAAACTCGTGCTTTGGCTTATAAACACATGTTAGAGGTAAAAATCTACTCGGGAAACTGTGTTTAAAAAAGAAAAATAGAAATTATTCAATAATCCTATTAAAATGAATTTATTATGTACACTCAAAGCACTCGTTTATGAGTGTGTGTGTGTGTGTGTGTGTGTGTGTGTGTGTGTGTGTGCGTGTTTATGTTAGTGTATGAAGCTTAGGGCAATTTCTAATGAAGCGTTTTTAGCAGGAGTACAAGAGTCTTTGCTCACACATTGAGAATTTATTTAATTAAGAAAACTGTTGAATTTTCATATGAAGTATGAAGCAAATATTGCTAATTCGAGTTGACTAAACAACTAGTGGGCAAACATCAGCTAAGTGGCTGACGTCAATATAGACTTGTTCGGCTTGCACTAAATGCTTTAATGTGTTTGGTTAGGCTTGCTAATCCAGTTCACAAAGGAATCAAGCGTGCGTCGTCTCGTCTCGCCGGCTTGGGGCAATGGCTGCTGCACTTCCATTCGATTCAATTCGAGTCAATTCAATTCAATTCAATTAAAAACCTAATGAAACGAGAGCTCAACTGATTTGCTGATGGTTAAACAAACAAAGCAATAAACATTCCGTCAGCCAGATTTTCTTGTCTTTACCCTCTGACCATTTCTTTTTCTTTTTGCTTTTGCCTAACACTCGTTCGGCAAGCACGGTCAGGTATATTAGTTGGGGGCGTGTAACCTTATGGATAGAAGCCGTTACGCATTGAAGGTGAAAAGGCTTGAGGATAATCATGAACTGTTGCATCTGGTCCTTCCCCGGCTAGACTCTCGCCTACATAAATCGAGTGGAGCGCGTATTGTGCAGTCGTTAACTCCCGACTGTCAGCTATTTTATTTGGCTGCCTCAATTATTTGCTGTTGTTCGTTGCCCTCTCCGTCCGGCGCGCGCTCAATGCTGGCTGCTGGCGGATTCAGGCTTTGGAATGCTGGCGCTGGATTTAGTCCGGGCATGGCGTATATATTGCCACAAAATATTTATTAAATTGTAAACATAATGAATAGGAGAGTTCTTTGTGAGCTCTGTACACGAAATCAAAGCAAATATTCCCCAGGGCGCGGGCAACGAACATCGCAGCCAGGTATATTAAAAATGTATTGACATGTCGGTCATTTGGCCGGGGGCAAACAGCTTAAATGTTCCAGCTAGCCGATTCGAACGAATTAATTAAGTGCGTAATCCCCTTTGACCAAATAGTATACAAGTCATTTAATGGCATTTCACAATTTTTCAAATATATTTCAGCTCTTTTATTGCCAGCCTGAGGTGCGAGTCGTCAATGTTGCTATTGCTGTAGATGTTGCTGTAGCTGTTGCTTTCGGGTCACCTTTAAGGTAACTGGCAGCGTCAGCAGCAAGTGGACATCTCAGCTTTATCTCCATTTATTTGCCCTATACTTGCGCTGCCCACTTGCCCAATATTTTCCCCCGAAATTGAGCAGAATCAGCCTCTGCACGCCCACGATGAAATGAGCACCAAATTGTGGCACTTATCGCAATCAAAAGACGCTCAGATAGCTGCCCAAATGACATACGCATGGCATGGCCTGTGCTCTGCTCTGTCCGATGGCGGTTGACTGTGCGTATACGCAACGCATGCACAATTAAGTGGCAAAGAATTTCCATTTGAGCTTTAACTAGGCTGCAGACCACAAACTAACTCAACTGGACGCAATTAGAACATAGTAAAGGAGAGCGAGAGAGAGAGAGAGAACTAAAATACAACTATGCAATAGAATTCAATTAACAGCAGCAACAAAACGGCAAAACTCTACTCAATGCCCAGGCGAATGCGACATGAGCGAAGAATATATTTGCCATGCCAACAACTTTTATATACATATGCAGCTAGCCAACTGCATTGCATTATATATACATAGTATATAAATGTTTATGCTGCGACATTGCATTAGGTTTTCATACAGACACGTCCATATATCGAGCTGTACCCAGCCACATATGAATTTCTCAGAGTTGGTCCAAAGCGTAAAAGTTTTTAAATTTAAAATCTGTGTCTGACAGCATATACATGTATGCACTTAAACCTTATGTCAATTCATTCAGACATTCCAATTTTACAATTTTACAATGAATTCCCGGTATGCTATATATCAGAATGTGCTTTCCCAGAATACCAACTGCTACTCGCCTTCTCTTTGCCCAATAAAACTCGCTATGATCCTACTTTAATAACCATCTCGCTCAATGACATAATTTTACAAGGAATTCCCGGTGTGGCGCCCTTCGCAATGGACTTTCCTAGAATGCCAATTGCTTGTCAGCTTCACTTCGTCCAATGCCAATGGTTACGATCCTTCTCAATTGCCATCTCGCTCTTGCTCAGCAGGACGCGGGACTGCGTTCAGCTACAGCTATGGTTGTCTCTCTCCCACACTTGGAGTGAATCGCATGCTGAAACTCAACAGCCTGTACATTGTTCAGCAATAGCAATATCTGTCTCCCTCTCTCTCACGGAGAGAGTTTTAGAAGATGGAAACCAGCAATGAGAAGCGGGCAGTTTAGACGCAAACTCACGCGGATAATATTTTTACAGCGAGTTCAACGGCGGCAGCCAATCAGAACGAAATAGAGAGTCTTACAGAACAGAATACAATGTCACATTATATGTATATGTATATTCCATTTTTTTTTTGTTGCCTAAAATTTGAGCCTTTAACTTCACCGCTACTATTCTAGCTTATCAATTCATATCAGATAGGCTCCAAATAATTTTGTTTCGATATTACCGAATATGAACTCGGTTTCTACCCGATCAATAATTCAATTATTTTCTTAATATCTCTGCCATGTCAATTCAATTGTATATTTCTCTATGTGACATTTTGTGCCTTTTCCCTCTATTGTTTGCCATTTGATATAATTTGTATTGAATTACATTTTACCTTTGATATACGAAAACTATGCGCATATGTATTCCCGTTGCTGTTATTGTTGTTGCTGCTGTGTGCCAATGTGTAAACATATTGCGTATGCGACATGTGGTCTGGGTTATTTCATAAAAGGTCAATTGGCCTCAGGCCGGCAGACAGTTGCAAATGTGAAATTCTCTTGGCTTGTTCTTCGGGTCCGGGTCGGAGTCGAGGTCAGAGCCGGGGCTTGTTAAAAATTCAATAACTACGTTTATGTGAAATATTAAGAAACATTTGCCAGCGGCCAAATGAATGCGATTTGAATGTGAACAAAGCGCCAAGTTCTAGCAGCTTAAAGTGCTGAAAGTGGGTCGAAATGAAAGCAAGGCCGAGAAATTAAGGCGATGGCTGCACAACATGACTATTATATCATGTTTGGGTTGAGTGATTGCTCCTAATGTGTTAAGTTGTTGCTGTTGTTTTTGTTGTTTTGTAGTTGTTGTTGCCTGATGTTGATGCGTTGCCACAAAGAAATCAGTGAGCTGTAAGAAACGTCCGCTTGGGCAGCGTCAGCGGCAGCGTTGACTATTTCGATTTAATGGGCGGCGCGGTGGGGCGTGGCACATTGCAAAATCAAGCATTTCCAGCAGCCATTTCCAGCAGCTCGGCAATTGCCCATTGCGTTGTGTTTGCGTTTGGCATGGGTTTTTTTTCTTCTTCCTTCTTTTTTTTATTTTTAGGCGCTTCCGCTTCCGTTTCCGCGTCACTGCGCCGAGGCAGTGTGAAATATTTGCGGACCGAAACGCATAAAAATGCTGTAAAACAAAGTGAGCTCGAGCCGGGAAAGTCGCAACTGGCCGAGCCTACAAAACTAAACTTTCTTCTATTTATATAATCCAAAAAAAAAATAAATAAATAAAAATTTAGAGTGGCAAAAAATCAAAACAATGAAAGAAAAAAATGAAAATAACATAAAATACAAAAAATAAAAGTGTAAAGTAAAGCAAATAAAAGCTGTCACCCAACCGAACCATCGATTCTGTTTGAGCTCATGTGAGCAGCCGCAGCCGCAGCGACGCGACGGCAGCCCCTCGACGGCTGTCGTTGGGCTAAGGGCAAAGCCAGCGGCAAGGCAAACGCTAAGTACGACTTCCACAACAACAACAACAACAACAAAAATGACGAAATAACTCTTCAGATAATCACACACGTTCATGTGTAATTATAGATGTGTGTGTGTGCGTGTGAGGGTGTGTGTGTCCTTGACTTCAGCTCAAGCAGCTGGCAGACAAACTTGTTACCATGAGGTTTTACACAGTGACAGCAGCAACAACAACAACAACAACATCAACATCAGCATCAACAGCTCAGCAAATCAATTGAAGTTTATTGCTCTTAAAGTTGCCACATAATTGCCACTCATCTATGTATGTTTGTATGTATGTGCATATGTATGTGTGCATGGGTTAGCTGGGTTTCTTACGATATTCAAGTGATTCCTGTTTGATCCTTGGCTTGAATTGTAACAAAAAGTTTGTGCGATGCACTCGATTAGGATATAATGAAGATGTGAGTGTGTGTTATACTAGCTCTACTAATATATGTACATATATATATATATATATATATATATATATATATATATATATATATATATATATATACATGAAGTGATTCTTACATGGTTTGTTGACAGTTTGATCAACCGGCTTCTTCTCTAAGAAAAGAATGTTCAGAATTATTATATAGAAAAGTAATTTATTATATTACGTATGATACATGATTTTACCTTACCTTACCTTAATAAATTACATGAATAAGTGGTGCATACTCTACGCAATGAACTGGCTAACAATTTCACATCCTTGGTGATTAAACCAACAATCAAGAAGGTATCACAATAACTGTAATCACAATAAATGTAATCCCAGGCAAACATACTTGCCCGAAGAAAAAGACACAGAGAGCTCAAGAGCTCTCTAATAAACTCAATACACTCACTGAATCGCTTCATTTAACTCTCATCTTAATATTGAAATAATACATCAGCTTTGCCCTCAAGCCTTGACTACATGAACAAACATGTCTAGTTTAACAGACAGAGCACACTTGAAAGTCAGATAAAAAATAGAGTAACAAAATATAGATATATATAATATTATACATATGTATATTATAGTAGACCTAATTAATGTTTGCATATGCATAATATTTGTATATTTCTATATTCTATGTTATATATAAGCAAAATAAATAAAATATATATCCTGTTTTCATTTAAAGACGCAAATTGAACCAAATATCCAGATTGATTTTATAAAAAAAATTTAATAATAATGAAAGAATATACATATATGTATATTCTATATATAGCGCATCGCAACGTAATATTCAGTTTTCTATGTTTTCCAA